GACTCCGGTATCAAAAAGTCAACTCCCCGGTCAAACTTTCAAACTTTAAATTCTTATTTTAGCTATTTCAAGCCTAATTTCACTATGGACTTCCAAATAAAATTTCGATCGCGCTCCTAAGTCCAAAATTACCATACGGAGCTGTTGGAATCATCAAAATTCTATTCGGGGTCATTTTCTAAAAATGTTGACCGAAGTCAAACTTGGCACTTTAAGGCCAACTTAAGGAACCAAGTATTGTGGTTTCACCCCAAACACTTCCAAATTCACGAACCAACCATCCCCGCAAGTCATAAATCATTACAAGCACCTACAAGAAGGTTTACTTTAGGGAACGGGGTTCTAAAAGTTAAAATGACCGGTTGGGTCATTACAGTAGGGGTACAAACTACCCTCCCCAGACCTCACTAGTGAGATTATACTGGGTTGTTGTTGTTGTATTATACTCGAGTTGTTTAGCAAGGCCGGTTGGTGTGTTCTATTAAAATGCAGGTTTAATATTACAAAGAAAAAAAATTTGCCTAATTGCTTGCACTAAAATATTTTTAAAAAATTGGCCTAAATTGGCAAGCGTGCTATAATTAATACACAGCTCACAACATGTTAGTTTGAATAATCCCAAAACGAAGCCAAAACACACTGCAGCAAGTGCTCCTTACTGCCCAAATATCTCTGATCCAAAATCACCACTCTCCCGCCGCAGCTCCGCCGCCACCTACTTCTCCGAATCACCGGAGACATCGAATCTCCGGCTTTACTTAAAAAACCCATAATGCCCTTATCTAATTCAATATTAATGTTTCGACGCCAATTTTGTAAGCTTCCATTTGGAGTAATATCAAAAGAGGAGCTGTTGATAGAAGGATTGCAGCCGGAGCTGATGCCGAAACACGTAGCTATCATACCGGACGGTAACCGGCGATGGGCTAAGGAGAGAGGCTTGTCACCGGAAAAAGGTCATGAAGCTGGGAAAAAAGTGCTCGGAGATTTGTGCCGTTATTGCTCAAAATGGGGAGTCAAAGTTCTTTCTGCTTATGCTTTTTCTACTGAGAATTGGTCAAGGCCCAAGGTAAGCACGAGTATTTAGTTATTTTTTCTTTTTAATTTTTTAATTATACATTGACGAAGGGAAGAGGAAATAAGGAAGAATTTACAATGTGAGAATTAATTGGGGAGTGAATAATGTAAAAATTCAGATAGTTAATCAACACACATTATTGGTGCAAAAGTTTCACTGATAAAGAGTTCCAATTAAAGGCTTATTTAATCTGGTTTGATTAGGTATGATTGTCCAATTACATTTTCGTATTCCGTGATAATTAATTTTTGTATTTGAAGTATATAATCAAGCTGCATTCTGCAGACATTGATAAACATGAACTGCTTCAAAAATATTTTAAGTAATATTTACACAAAAAGTTTCACCATAACCCCTTTTAGGTTGATGGAAGTTAAGATAAATTTGTCAAGTGCACTCAAAATTTCAGATTTTTCACACATTTTCTGCAATTATATATTGGACAGGCAGAGGTAACTTTCTTGATGACGAGCTACTTTGAAGGGCTTATTCACGACTTCATGAGGTACTACTTTTAACTGACAATCAACTATTAAAATCTTCTTGTATATGAGTTTTGTTTTTAAATTATTTTACTCATTATTGCAACAACAACATACCCAGTATAATCTCACAAGTGTAGTCTTAAGAGGGTAGAGTATACGCAGACCTTACCCTTGCCTTTTAAAAAGGCAGCGATGTTGTTTTTGGAAGACTTCGGCTCAGGAAGGGGAGAGGGGAGGGGCAATAACAAGCAAACCGATCTGACAACCAAAGCAAAAATGCAAAACTAGCAAAAGGTAATGCAATCAGAAAATCGAAACACAAGACAACAACAAGTAGTAACAGAAGACGAGTAAATTTCATAGGTGGTCATTTAACTTTGTGTTCATTACCCAAAGTCACTATTCATTCTTTTGTTACGTAAAAGTCATTCAACTTTGTGTTCATTACCCAAAATTACTTTTCTTTCTTTTGTTACACAAAAATTATTTTACTAAGTTCTAGTTATCACAATAATTACTTTGATAAGATTTTATAAACATTTCACCTGAAAAGTCTATTATGCCCCTGACATTATAAATCTCCTCATTTATGTAATACCTTCTATATTAAATGCTATATAATATACTTTTACCCAGATATTTTGCTTATAATTAAAATAACTTTATATTATTTTTATAATATATTCGTACATTTAAGTTTTTCTTAATATTACTTTTCAAGATATATAAGTAGTAATATTAAATTTGTTCATAAAGTTACCTTGAACAAATCTCAAGCTCACATTCTTAACCATGCTTAATGAGCTATTTTTAATATAAATTCAAAGCTTACTGATTTATCAGCCAAGCCATACCCATTAATCCAATAAATAAAATATCTCTATTTTGCACATTGACACATCAGATTAATACTTTCAAATAAATAATATTAACAGATAAAGCTTTTAAAAACTTAATATTAAATACAAATATCTTTGAAAGTTTTTTAAAATTTTTATTGACTATAAAAAACTATCATTTGTTAAGCAAATCTATTTTTATTATTTCAAATAAATATTTTTAATATTTTTATATTTAAGATATGTTCATGTTTGAATATGATTAAACAAATTGAGTGCCATGAAAATATTAAATGTATGGATATATTATAAAAATAAAAAATAAAAAATATAAAGTTATTTAATTATAAGCAAAATACCTAGGTAAAAGTATATTATATAGTATATGAAATACTCCCTCCGTTCCAATTTATGTGAACCTATTTGACTAGACACGTAGTTTAAGAAAAAAATAAAGATATTTAAAATTTGTGGTCCTAAACAAATCAAAAAGGGGCCCAGGATATTTATGTGGTTATAAAAGTTTCTCATTAAGGGTAGAATTGTAAGTTTAAACAAAATTATTTCCTAATTTAGAAATATGTAATTCTTTTTGGAATGGACCAAAAAGGAAATATGTTCATATAAACTGGAACGGAGGGAGTGGAAGGTATTACATAAATGAGAGAATTTATAACGTCAAGGGCATACTAGGCTTTTCAAGTAAAAGTATTATAAAATCTGGTCATAGTGACTTTTATGATAGATAGAGCAAAGTAAAATAATTTTTGTGTAACAACAAAAAGAAAAGTGACTTTTTGGTAATGAACACAAAGTTGAATGATTTTTACGTAACATAAATAAGAAAAGTGACCTTTGCATAATAAATACAAAGTTGAATGACCACTCATGAAATTTACTCAACAGAAGACTATGGGTACGGAAAAACAATACGGAAAGCACTAAGTGGTGTGTCAAATCTACTGCTACAAACAAGGATAATACTCGACCACCTAACCCTTTGCCTTTATTCTCAACCTCCACACCTTCCTATCTATGGTCATGTTCTCAGTAAGCTGGAGCAACGCCATATCTTGCCTAATCACCTCACACCAATACTTCTTCGACCTCCTCACCTTACTCATCATCAGTGTTTTAAAAAATGTCCGCTTCCTCGCTTTAAGCGAGAAGCAAAGCGAAGCGAGAAGCTGCACGCTTTACCCTGCTAAAGCGACTCAGGTGTAGAAAAGCAACCGCTTCCCACTAAAAAGCGAGAAGCGGGAAAGCGATGCGATGCGAAGAAGCGGCCGCTTCTGTGTTTTAAAACAGACTCAGCCCTATTTTATTATAAACGAGGTCTGGTCTTTCATTAAACGAACAAATGCAATGCGACTAGGGTTTTAAAGACACTG